GGCATGCCCATGTTGCTTGGACCAATGCCGTCAGTAGTTGCGCTCCAGCCAGATTTCGCAGGCATTCCTGTTACGCAAGTTCTCCCTGATGGCAGGTCGGTCACAGTACATTTCGATAGGTTCTCTCACACAACACAGCGACCCCGAGCACTCACGCAATGTAGCCGACATGCAAGATGTCGACTGGATAGGTTTTTCCACATGTTCCCTACACCAAAGCGTTGCGTGGCTTTCCTTTTTGCATGGCATGAAGTAGGCTCTGCCATCCCACCAGGTGGGCCCAAAGATGTTCACCAGCACGCGCCAGTGCCGCCTGATCTGGTAGCTAAGTGGGAGGAGCAGCTCCCAAATCGGGACTATTGACTGGATTGACGCTGCCTTGCGCCCGTAGCGGCATTATTGAGATCTGAAACGACAGTTTCGGGCGGTCGGGGGTTGGTGAGAGAGGGATTTGAGCAAGGGCGGGCAGGGGGGGCCCGGGAGGGCCCAGAAAGGAGGTTCGGGGCAGATTTGACACGACATCGTCACCAATTGTCGCGGAATTGTCGCGGAATTGTCGCGGAATTGTCGCGTAAATGTCGCGGAAATGTCGCGGAAATGTCGCGGAAATGTCGTGGGGCGGTCGCGGGGCTTCTTGGGGGGTTTGGGGTCTTGGGGGGTGGTTGGGGGCAGAGGGGGGCCGTCTTGGGGATCGTGAGGATTGGTGTTGGCGTTGCGAGGCTATTTTGGAGCGCAGTTTGGCAATCACATGCCGTTTGTTACACCCCGAAGCAAAATGTCGCCATAATGTTGCAAATCGTTGCCAGGACCCCACAACGCGCATCTCGCTTATCATATGGAATCCTCTTGGGGCTTTGGGGGGGTCTCAGATGCTACCGTGGAGGCCTTAGTAGAAAAATGCCGATGAGAACAATCGAACGACTTAGAGTAGAGGAATTGAGCGAAGCGCATGTGAATCGACTGCCTCAGAGAGGGAGAGAAAGAGAGTGACACCGAGAAAGAAAGATACGACTGGGGCCGCAATGTAGCCGACATGCAAGTGTTGTGCGACTGGATAGGTTTTTCCACATGTTCCCTACACCAAAGCGTTGCGTGGGCCTTTTTGCATGGCATGAAGTAGGTGGACCGAGGTGGGCCCAAAGATGTTCACCAGCACGCGCCAGTGCCGCCTGATCTTGAGTTTCAGCTCCCAAATCGGGACTAGACATTGACGCTCCTTCCGTAGCGGCATTATTGAGATCTGAAACGACAGTTTTCGGGGGTTGGTGAGAGAGGGATTTGAGCGGCGGGCAGGGGGGGCCCGGGAGGGCCCAGAAAGGAGGTTCGGGGCAGATTTGACACGACATCGTCGCCAATGTGCTGGAAAAATTGTTGAAGGGTTCTCTTGGGGCCGGTTGCGAGCGCAGTTTGGCAATCACATGCCGTTTGTTACACCCCGAAGCGGATGTTGCAAATCGTTGCCAGGACCCCACAACGCGCATCTCGCTTATCATATGGAATCCTCTTGGGGCTTTGGGGGGGTCTCAGATGCTACCGTGGAGGCCTTTGGCGTCCGAGAGTGTGGTGGCGAAGCGCATGTGAATCGACTGCCTCAGAGAGGGAGAGAAAGAGAGTGAGAGAGAGAGGAAACACCGAGAAAGAAAGATAGAGCACGGCCGCATGGCCATCAATATTTCTGGCGCCTAGGGGTTCGCGTGTGTGTATTGGGGAGGGGGGGTGTCGGGGGTCGTGCTGGGGGTCATGCCGGGCGTGTGTGTGCCGTGGGGGATTACCACGGTGTTGAACCACTGCCTCCTCACTCCATAGACTCGCTTCGTGAAAGGCTTCCTCCTCTTAGTTTTCATTCCTTCTCTTGTCTTTCGGTTGTTCTAAGCCTTGTTTGTTTCAACTCCATATGATTTCCCTTCCTCCCTCTTCTCCTGTCTGTCTTGCTAGCTGGTTCCTTGGGTCCTCCTGCTTCCATTGGGCCTAGGGCCCTTGGGTCCTGGTTCTTGGGCCCCTGAGGTTGAAACAGCCCCCAGTTGCACGAACAGCTTCCGAGCGCTGCCCAGCCTCAGAGCGCCGTCGATGAGCTCAACTGTCGGAGTCGGAGCAGAAGCCCGGCACGCCGACGATGATGTGGCCACCACCAGTTGGCAGGCGCACGTTTGGACCAGAACAATCCAGCCAGAGAGGTCCTCAGCTCGATCCACGTCCCTTATATTGCTACTCTGTCTCGGCAGGACCACCTTGTTCATTATTCACCTTCGTCTGTGCACAAACGATCTTCTGGCAACCTGTGTGCGCCTAACTCTTACGTTGCCTCATCAGTCATTGTCGAGCAGCCAGCTAACTCTTGGATGTTCTCTCACCCGAGCATGGTGGACTTGATTGCAGCGAGCAGTGGTACACTGAAGGTGATCACAACTTGGATGGGTTGTTTTGGCCATGACATGGCGAAGTGCACGCATTTGCTGACCAACATGCCAACCGCCTGTTTGTTGATTCGCACCATGAACTTGCGCCAGTGGAAAAGAGATCATCCAAACAAGGCGAAGTTCTGGGAGGAGGCCAGTGGGAGAGTGAGTGGGGGCAAACACCTCCACGAGAGTGCAGCGTATACGATATCATTTTGCAACGCAGTCTCGCGTCATGGGAGAGACATTTCAATCGATTTCGTGCGTGAGTGTTTTCGCCTGCATCGTGAAATGATGCTATGGTGAATTTTATTGGCCAGTTCAGGCCCATTGCCCATGTGCCTGCGTTGCCTGCACAAAAGAGACCTTGCCGATTAGGCATCATCATGGCGGCCAGCTTGATATCACGTTCTGTTCGAGGTGGCCAGGACAAAACCAGCATCATGCGTACACAACCATTCGTCAATGCAGGTAACAAGGCAGCAACACACGTACACACAGCAATGCATACTACAGCGCATACGTACGCCAACGCTCTTCGGTCATAGTTTAATTATGTACACAACAGCACCATAAATATTCAAGCGCTTCGCGCACTCGTCCATCCCAGTCTGTATCCAGTGGTATGAGGCCAGTGCTCCCGCTGCAGCGTTCTGTGCCTGGGTTGTGGGCAGCGCATTCCTTAGTAGGTGTCTTGACTCGGTCTGCCGAGCGCTCCCGTTACTTTCCAGTGCTGTCTTCTACGTAGGTTTCAGAATCAAGCACATAGCCGTTCATGCCCTGGCGCATCTGAACCTTGGCCCCTACCTCAGCGATCCGAGCGACACCGTGATCGCCATGGCCTCGGCGGCCTCCGACTGTGGCTCTGTTCAGGGCGCCACCTCTTCCGTGGTGGAGTACGTGTGCGAGAAGTGCGAGGACCCCACGACCATCAGCATGTCGTACCCAGTTAACAAGGACAAGCCCTTTGACAAAAGGAAGTGCACTGATTGCTGCAACACGGATCGCAACCTCCAGCGCAGGAAGATGATGGATAGTTTCAAGAAGAAGTCCAAAGAGGAGAAGGTGAGGTTTTACAGGGACCGCAAGGGAAAGAAGAACAGTGCGTTCGATTCGGGTGACCTGGAGGTGTCTGTCTCCGAGTCCGATATCAAGAAGAAAGGGACCACTGAGATTGATAAGTACGTCCCGAGGGCCACGTGGCAGGGCAGGCGCATCGTCGAGGACCCGTCAAAGAAGGATTGGACGCAGCAGCAGTGGGATACGGAGTGGAAGCGTGTCCTGGATGACCCTGACACGATGAAGATGTACGTGAGGGGTCAGTGGTGCATCGGGGAGTTCGAGGGCGTCGAGGTGAAGTCGGGCCAGTCGAAGAAGATCACGACCTCCATCAAGCGCAAGAGCGTGGCGGAGAACGCCGACCAGCTGGGCAAGCTCGCTTCGGAGGCTACCGACACAAGCAAAAAATGGGCGAGGACGAGCTCTTCGATCATTCCGACCATTGCTACGCCGGGAGATGAGCAGATGCCCTACGCTCCCGTGGAGGGCGAGGTCACGGCCCAGGTACACGACGCCAAGTTCCTCGCAGCGTGCCAGCACGACCTCGCGATGCAGGCGCAGAGGGAACAGGGGGATGGCGTTGAGGAGCAGCAGTCCAGGACCCCGACGAAGCCCAGCGAGAAGAAGGAGCGCTCGAAGATGGTCTTGCAGCTGGCGTGGGATGCAGAGGTTTCTAAACAGAGTGCTGTGGTGATCGCGTCTGTTACTACGAAGCGCGAGAAGATGGACACTGCCATTGCCGAGTCGCTCGGCTTGGAGGACATGACCACGGATAACACCAAGGAGATGACCGAGACTGCAGAGGCGTGCCGCCTCGCCTTCACTACTCTCAAGACGGAGAGCGATGCCGCCACTGCTGAATGGTCAGCCTTGAAGAAGCCGTCTACTGAGGATGAGTTCAAGCAGATGGTGAAGGCGATGGCCGAGGAGAAGCAGAAGTGGACAACGCCGAAGCTATTCAACAAGACAACCAAATCGTTCGTGGAGAGGTTGAAGGATCTCACCGACAAGGTCAGGGACTACACCAAGGCTGCTGACATGGCCAGGAAGAGCAAGGCTAGCCAGAGCGCGGCCGCTCTTCGCTCAGAGCACCTGGCGGACAAGATGAGCCGCGAGCATCAGATCATCCCCAGGCCAAGTGGCTTGCATCCAATAGGTTCATCCTCTTCTCGTTTCCTCCTCCTTCCCCTCCTTCAACTCCTCCTCCACCATATGAAGCTAGAGCCTCCTACTATTCTCCGTCTCATCTGATCTCCTCCTCATCCTCCAACTCCTCCTCACCTCCCTCTCACTCCACTTCTTCCTGCCCCTCCTCCTGCGCGTCCTCCCCTTCTCCTTCCTGCTCCTCCTGCTCCTACTCGTCCTCCCCCTGCCCGATATCTTCCTCCTCCTCCTCCTTCTCCTCCTCCTCCTCCACCTTTGTAGCCCATTAGCTACCTGGCGTTCTTTCGCCCCAACTTGTTCCCTTGCCCGAGCTCCTCCCCCTCCCCTCCCGGGGATGGGGGCTTCTTTGCGAGCTCCAGCAGGCTGCGTCACTCCGTGCAGAGCGCGGGCGACGAGTTCAAGCACCACGTCGGCTCGAACTTGATCGCAGGGTACTTCGCCACAGAGGTTGGCGCATCCGTCGGGACCGAGCCAGCGCTCTTGAAGGCGGCCATCGCCGACAAGGTGATCCAGCTCCCCTACTACAAGTCGCACAGCAATTGGGTGAGCAACTACATTCAGAAGAACGGGCTCGTCGGCGCCAACAGCGACATCGTGAGCGCTCAGGCGGCCGCTGCGATCTCGAAGCTTGCCAGGGCTGCCATCGACGCCAGGACGTTTAACAAGGTCGGGGGCACCGAGGCGGTCAACAGCGCCTTCAACATGCAGTTCTGGCACAACACGAAGGAGTGGTCCCAGGTGGCGCTGACTCCGAACTGCCTGCCAGAGGGTCGCCTCACGTTACAGGGGAGCGAAGTGCTATTCGGTGTGAAGCTCTCTGCGGTCCTGCCAGTTTCCCTGGTGGAGAAAGTGAAAGCAGTTGGTCAGATGAGCGTGGAGTGTTTCTTCGGCTTGGTGAGGTCGCATGGCTTCGCTTTCAAATCTGAGCCTGGGACGCTCCAGATCATCCCGGCGGGCTTCCTGGTGATCGGCTTCCTTGTCAGCGAGGAGCCGTGCGAGGGCATGCGCTGGTCGTTCGTGCGCTCGGACGCCGCCGAGCAGGAGCGCATCCTCATCAAGACGACCATGGAGCAGGCGATGGAGGAGTTCGGGGCTGACGCGACCATGAAGGCGATCAGCCTGGCGCTCGGGGCAGCGTGAGGACGCGCCCTGAGCCTGCGAGAGCCTGGTCACTACGCGCATGGGGAAGCTAGCGAGGTGTTACTTGTGATACGTTTTGTATGCCAACACCTCCTAGCCGTTAACGAGACAGCGCGTGCCAGACCAGGGGCACGCAACCTCCAGAGAGATGAGGGTGGATACGTTTGTTTTTCTCTTCTTCTCTCACTCCTGGTTCAGATCACCACCTGCCTCCCTCACCTCTTCCACCCTCACTCGGCGAGTCTTGATCGGTCAGCCTGGAGAGGCATGTTTCAGGACTCCGAGTTTTTTCGTGAAGCCTTGCGGCTACGATTAAGACAATGTCGCTTGCTGCGTCCTCCCACGTCCGACTCGGGAGAGGCAACCCATCAGATCTGTCAGCTTGATCTCGGGAACCGCTTGCATGATGTTGCATCCGTGGATGTTCGGCCCAAATGGTCAGTTGCTTGCCTTTACTCGGCCAGGCGGCGGCAGACGCGGCCCCGTGGACTTGCCATGGCGAGTGTCTCGAAAGAAGACTTGTTCGAGGATGATCTCATGAAGACTCCGATCAAGCCCAAGCCTGTGGACATGTCGTGGCAACCTGGGGTCTACGTGCGTTGGCCTAGAGGCAGCCAGAAAGAGGATATATTTCACGACGGTTGCGACTTCCTGCTAGCCGAGAAAATCTACGAACAACGGAGCAGGGCGTTCACCCAGTACCTCAAAACGATCCCCAAGAAAACCAGGAGCAGAGTCTGGAAACCCATGGTTGGAGTCTGGCTTCATCGATTCGGCTCCAAGGCAACCAGGGACCGTGTGCCACCCAAGGCGACCAAGCAGATGACCAAGGGGATGGCCACAGATCGCGTCGTGCAAGTTATTGCTGGAAGCTTAAGAGTAATTCCGGCGCGCTGGAGAGCTAGTTGGCAAGAGAAATCTCGACGGACCTTTTGGTGACTTTTGGTCGGTTGAAAATTTTGTTCTCAAAATTCCTCAATTCGTTTGAACTCTAGTATTTTTTCCCGTGATATTCGATCTTATTCCTGCTCGCCATCTTGATCTCAGCTCGATCGGGTACCTTTTACTGCCAAAAAGCACACTGGCGGGATCGGCTGTTTCGAGTCATCTTGATGCGCGTTCTCGGTATTTTGTACTTAACTCGAGATAGAGGAGAGCTACAGAGCTGATTAGCACGCCGAATCGATCCAGAATGATCAGGCGCGTTCGTCTGTTGCATCCAGAAGTCTGAACTTGGTCTGCCAGCAGCTAGGTCCGCAAAGCTATTCGTATTATTCGAATCATCTTGACAGGCGCTCTCGGTTTTCTTCACTTACCTCGAGCTATAGAAATGCTACAGAGCTGATACTTACAGAAACCGATTCAGAATTATACCTCGTAGAGCTCTTCGTTATCGATGAGCTAGAGAAATTCCGGCGCGGGGTGAAGCTAGTTGATCGACCCGACCAGAAAGGACAAAGTTATGACTTTGGGTCGGTTTTGCTCAGATTTGAAGGATAGTTCACATTTCATTTTGAGAGCAGATTTTTACGCCGAGCATTGGCATATGAGCTTGGTTCCCTGAGCAGCTCAGCTCTCTGGAGCCAGTTTTAGTATTTGTTGACTTCCGGGAACGGACTACATCTTTACTCCGAAAATCTCAATTTGACGTTTTTCTAGAAAAGCTGCAAGAAGCTCTCCGCTTCGATCCTGAGCTTTCTTACGGGTGCAAGGAGCTCTACGAGGTTCCCGGCGTTGACCAGGTTGACGGTTCACCACCGGCGCCAGTCAGTCGCGTTTGTCTGTTGAATCCAGAGCTCTCAATTCTGTCGGCTGCCCGATCTAGAATCGCGAAACTATTCGTATTGTTCGAGTCATCTTGCGAGATGCTGTCGGTTTTCTGCACTTAACTCAGGCTATAGGGGGTCTACAGTGCTGGTAATCACAGGAACCGATTCGGAGACATCAGGCGCGTTCGTCTGTCGAATCGAGAGCTCGGAACTCGGTCTGCTGCCCGAACGAGGTCCGCGAAACTATTCCTATTGCTCGAGTCATCCTGAGAGGTGCTGTCGGTTTTCTGCACTTAACTCGGGCTTTAGGGGGGCTGCAGGGCTGGTAATCACAGGAATCGATGCGGAGACATCAGACGCGTCTGCCTGTCGCATTCAGAGATCTGAACTCGGTCTGATACTCGAGCTAGGTGTGCCAAACTATCCGTATTGTTCGAGTCATCTTGAGAGATGCTGTCGATTTACGCACGTAACCTGGGCTGTAGGAGAGCTACAGAGCTCGGGGGCGTTCGGCTGTTGCATCGAGGGGTCTGAAATCGCTTGGGCTGAAAAACTGTTCGTTCTCTGCAATCTTTTTCGACATTATATATTATCAGGAAGCTCTACGAGTCCCCTGGCGGTGAGAAAGGTTGACGGTTTGCCGGCGCCCAGTTGTTGCTGGAAACTTAAGAGTAATTCCGGGGCGCTGGAGAGCTAGTAACTCGTAGAGCTTCCCTTAGCAAGTTATTGCTGGAAGCTTAAGAGTAATTCCGGCGCGCTGGAGAGCTAGTTGGCAAGAGAAATCTCGACGGACCTTTTGGTGACTTTTGGTCGGTTGAAAATTTTGTTCTCAAAATTCCTCAATTCGTTTGAACTCTAGTATTTTTTCCCGTGATATTCGATCTTATTCCTGCTCGCCATCTTGATCTCAGCTCGAGCGGGTACCTTTTACTGCCAAAAAGCACACTGGCGGGATCGGCTGTTTCAAGTCATCTTGACACGCGATGACGGTTTTCTGAACATAACTCGATCTTTAGGACAGCTACAGAGCTGGTGAGCACAGCTAATCGATTCAGAATGATGAGGCGCGTTCGTCTGTTGAATCGAGAGGTCTGAACTCGGTCTGCTAGCCGAGCTAGGTCCGCAACCTATTCGTATTATTCAAGTCATCTCGACAGACGCTCTCGGTTTTCTGTACTTAACTCGAGCTATAGGACAGCTACAGAGCTGATACTTACAGAAACTGATTCAGAATCATCAGTCGCATTTGCCTGTTGACTCCAGGGCTCTGAACTCGGTCTGCTGCCCGATCTAGAATCGCGAAACTATTCGTATTGTTCGAGTCATCTTAAGAAGTGCTCTCGGTTTTCTGCACTCAACTCGGGCTGAGGGGGGCTACAGTGCTGGTGGTCACAGGAATCGATTTGAAGACATCAGGCGCGTCCGCCTGTCGAATCCAGAGCTCGGAACTCGGTCTGCTGCCCGAACTAGGTCCGCGAAACTATTGTATTGCTCGAGTCATCCAGTCATCCTGAGAGGTGCTGTCGGTTTCCTGCACTTAACTCGGGCTGGGTGGTAATCACAGGAGTCGATTCGCACTACAGGGCTCGTAAAGGAGACAATCCAGAAGCATCGGGGGCGTTCGGCTGTTGCATCGAGAGGTCTGAAATTTCTTGGGCTGGAAAACTATTCGTTCTCTGCAGTTTTTGTTCCACATTATATCTTGTCAGGAAGCTCTACGAGTCCCCCGGCGGTAAGAAAGGTTGACGGTTTACCGCCGGCGCCCAGTTGGCAAGAAAAATCTCGACAGACCTTTTGGTGACTTTTGGTCGGTTGAAAATACCTCGTAGAGCTCTCATGGTAAGAGAGCTAGAGGAATTCGGCGACAGGGTGGAGCTAGTTGACCAAATGTCGAAGAGGGACGCGATCATACCATCCGCCTGGCTCAGCCGGTTTTGCAGCTCTAACAATTCGCGCAGAGCGAAGCTTTACATCACAGAAAATGTCTCTCGAATTCTTAGCTCATTCCGTCGACAAATTCTTCTGAGCGAAGCCAAAAACCAGACCTCAGATTAACGTGCAAAATTGAAAGTTGAAGATTTGAAGAAAATTCACTGCGAAGTTCTCTGCTTCGATTCTGGGTATTCTCACACGTGGAAAGAGCTCTACGAGGTTCCGGGCGGTGACCAGGTTGACGGTTCACCGCCGGCGCCAGTTTTGTTCTCGAAATTTAACCATTCGTTAGAGCTCTAGTATTTTTTCCCGTGATATTCGATCTTATTCCCGCTCGCCATCTTGATCTCAGCTCGATCGGGTAGCTTTTACTGCCAAAAAGCACTGCGGCGGGATCGGCCGTTTCGAGTCATCTTGATACGCGCTGTCGGTATATTGAACTTTACTCGAGATATAGGACAGCTACAGAGCTGGTAAGCACACCTCATCGATTCAGAATGATCAGGTGCGTTCGTCTGTTGAATCCAGAGGTCTGAACTCGGTCTGCTAGCCGAGCTAGGTCCGCAAACCTGTTTGTATTATTCGAGTCATCTTGACAGGCGCTCTCTGTTTTCTGTACTTAACTCGAGCTATAGGGCAGCTACAGAGCTGATACTTACAGAAATCAATTCAGAATCATCAGTCGCGTTTGTCTGTTGAATCCAGAGCTCTGAACTCGGTCTGCTGCCCGATCCAGAATCGCGAAACTGTTTGTATTGTTCGAGTCATCTCGAGAGGTGCTGTCGGTTTTCTGCACTTAACTCGGGCTATAGGGGGGCTACAGTGCTGGTGGTCACAAGAATCGATTTGAAGACATCAGCCGCGTCCGCCTGTGGAATCCAGAGCTCGGAACTCGGTCTGCTGCCTGAGGTCGGTCCGCGAAACTGTTCGTATTGTTCGTGTCATCCTGAAAGATGCTGTCGGCTTTCTGCACTTAACTCGGGCTGTAGGGGGGCTGCAGGGCTGGTAGTCACAGGAATCGATTCGGAGACATGAGACGCGTCCGCCTGTCGCATTTAGAGCTCTGAACTCGGTCTGATACTCGAGCTGGGTTTGCCTAACTATTCGTTTTGTTCGAGTCATTTTCAGAGGTGCTGTCGATTAACGCACGTAACTCGGGCTGTAGGAGAGCTACAGAGCTCGTGCAGAAGACACTCCAGAAGCATCGGGGGGCGTTCGGCTGTTGCATCGAGAGGTCTGAAATCGCTTGGGCTGAAAAACTATTCGTTCTCTGCAATTTTTTCGACATTATATATTGTC